TTTTATTATTATTTCTGAAAAAAAACCACAATAATGCATTCAGGTTTTTTATTGAGCAATTAAAATAAAAATCCGTCGTTAGATACAACTTGTATTAAAACAGTTGTTAAATGGCGTGTTCGTTAATTATGTGGAAAAATAAAGACCGTTGCTGATAATATTTCGAGCCTCAGATATTGTAATAACATTTTACATAATATTAATAATTTGGCTATTTTGTTCAAAGCGTATCATTAATCCGGAGATCACGGTTACTTTCATATGACTGGTTGTTATTGTATTTTTTCTTTGTTATTCTCTTTCACGCACGAATGGTTCAAAGGAAAACGGTCAGCATAAATTTGGATTTGAGCTTGCAAGTTATACATGGCTGTACTAGGACGGATCATTTTTTTTTTATTATTGTGTGTGTTCACATCCTAGGATTTCAAAAATGTTTTGAACCATCTATTTCTTTCACCGTATAACGCCATAACGCAATAAAATATCGATGTCGTATGGCAGAGAAAAATTGGGGTTTAGGATAAAACTACAGCTGCTGAAGTGTTGAGTATAACCATAATTATACTAAACATTTAAACATTTAAATACTCACACAATGTATCATAATACCAAGTTTATTCCAATTAACTCTTTAATCTGTTAGGAATTTATTATGTACCTAACAAAATAATAATATGTAATATGCTAAACACCTATTTTTACTTTTTAAGTTCATTACTTTGTTCTCTTGTTTATTTTTGACATACAGTTTGGTTTCCAAGTGTTTTCAATAAAACTCGCTGAGGTGTAATGTTATTACTATACTTACTCTATCATTGATAATGCTTGAGCGTTATAATCCTGGCAGTTTAAATTATTAAATACTTAGTTAACAGCGATATAATAATAAAGCCAAACTAGGATAAAAAAAAGTTAGTTTTACATATTCTATAGTCAACGAACCTGAAGGCTAACATATTTAGAAACCTTTATAATCTATGTACCAATATTTTATACGACCATTTTAAGACATATTATTATTATATCTGCATGACCTCGTTCTCATAATAGGGTACTGGATTATCATATATGATTTACAATGATTTAATTATTTAAACAAATCGATGCGTTGACCCATTACATAGACTACACGTCTGTCTGATATGCTCACCCGCCCATAGTCGGAAACAAAATTAGTTTTACCTAGATATAATATTATTATGTCATCATCCATTGTACTCACTGTATCCAAAATAAGAGCAATAAAGGCTCGTCGCATTGTAGCAACAATAACAGTGCACTCTATTATTATGGTTAGTTGATTTCCCTGCGTCGCCAAATTACCAAATCCAAACGTATTTTGGCAAACTATTAATGTTAACTTAATCTATACTGGTGACTTATGAGAAACACTTAAAAAAAAACAAATCGCCAATCTTTATTGGAAATAATCAAATAACATGTCAATTGACAATATACATGCACAGCGTTCAAAAACCCGATATTGTAAATAACGATAACAGTTAAATTGCCTATGATATTATAAAACCATAAGGGGTCCATCAGACTGTGACAACTGTCAGGATAACAATGGACACACTTCTAACTTCTTCAGGTAATCATCATACTTCTCGCTGTGTTATGGCTTTTGAAAATAGATAACATTCGAAATAACTGTGTCAAAGATAAAAGCAGCCTAGACAAGTTCATACAATTGTGAGTAATTGCTATAATACATTCAAATTCAAGAAGTGTTCAGACTTTAAATTCCTTATCAAGCACCGAAGGTCTAACAATCATCATAATCTTTATAAAAAAACACATTTTGTCCTTTTTCAGATCCCTTGTTCCCCTTGTCAGCCGATCGTATGCCTCTGTTCTTAACTAACCTCACCTTAAATATTATGCACATCAGGAAGGCCCAAATATTTCATTAATATTATAATTGGAAAAGCCAGTGAAAAACGTTAACAACCATCCACTTGTACTTTAATTTAATAATATAAAATTATATGACACATTTAAATTTATTCGATGTGTATTTATTGTTGAATTTTTCGCCAACAAACGAATAGGAATTATTTTGGTGGTCATATTATTATTTAATTGAACTGCATATCGTATAAAGTTAAGCTTAAAGTGTATTTCATTTATTCCTTACTAACTGACAACCACTTTGTGTTTAATAAAATTGACTTTACTTCAAGTTTTCTTGTATGCAACTATTTCAAAATGTACTTTAGCCTTTCTACTCTACAGAAAAATTACTGTTTCTGACTGATTTACCGTAAAAGTTTGGCTTCCAGAGTGGTATGATCACCACTTGCATTACACTATTTGTGTGTAGGTATATATGTATATAATATATAACCTAACTTAACCTAAACACATGTATAATAGTATCCATCTAGGTTTGAGCGCGTGTCCATGAGCGCTATTGGTTTTAAAGGAGTTTGTTTACGACGTAAACTTTTAATGATATGAAATTTAAGACGCGGAGGATTACGAAAAGAAAAGATACGAATACGATGTTCGATAATTCGACTTGTCAATAAAATATTGTCTACCCTCCAATGGTCCCGGATATTAATAATATATGATCTTATCCAACTTTTTTGTCTTTTTTAAAATAAAATTCAATGGGACATATTTTATCTTTTTGAAATAAATAAGGCTGCTCAAATAATATATGAATTATGTTCAATATACGGTGTATTAATGAAACACTCTCACCGCTTTTTACCAACCAATAATGCAATAATTCAAATGCTGATTTTTAGAATTCTTAAGTATAGAAGAATAAGTGGGTTCAGAAATTTGTTTAAGGGGAAAGCAAACAATTTTCTTTTTTACATCATAAATACTCAATATATTTTTTCAAAGTATTAAGATTATTTAAGATAATTCAAATCAAAAAACTAATATAATATGCAACAATTAAAATAATTTTAAAGCCACTTGGCTTGTTTTGTTCATAAACTTAGTGTGGACGGTGGACACATTGAAACTTGGCCAAAGAACACTATCAAGTACTCGCTCTTCATTCGTGATCTTGCCTATCCTTTTTATAAAGGAAAATATTAAAAATTGACTATAAGTTCTTAAAAGAAAACATTATAGATGTCATGTGAAATTAAAAATTGCTAAAATAATAATAATTGTATGATATAAATTATTTGTATTAATGATAAACTTGGGTGAATCTCCCCGTATATAATATGGAGTAAAATGATTAGAAAAGATAAAATAATATTAAATTTGAAATACTCCAAACATAACATATTACACACATTTTGTAATATCCTACATAACTACTTAGTCTTACGAAATACGCTTTTGTATTTTTAACTCTTAAATTTGCTAAGCATATTCCACGCTTCACTGTTTTCAGTTTCAACTCGATTTTACTCTTACTCGTATTATAAAATCAGCTTTATCTCATTTTGATGCGTGTACCTATGCAATGCAAATCATAACATTGTATATCAAATATATATATATTACTCTGATAAATATAATAATGTATCTTATAAAAGGATATTCGAGTGTCACGTGTGCTCTTGTGGTTTTATGTTTTTTTTAACTGAAGAGATAAATATTATTTACATTATATTAAATAACTAATCACAATTTTAAAAATAAATAAAAAATACCTGTGCTACTTAATTTCATGAAAAAATATGGTGAATATTGAAGCTTTGTTTTGATGTCAATTGGTATTATTGAGTATTACTATAAATTAGAATTATTAGCTAAACATAATACGTTTTGTGATCGAATATTATGATCTCGTATTGTTTCTTACATTTATTTTATATATTTATAGTATATTACCTATATACTAATGGACGTAAAAATATATAATTTGAATTTTATATTATTTCTTGTTAGGTATGATCATTTATTTATTTTTATTTATGGATTTAAATAAAAACAATAAATAATTATTGGTTCAATTACAGAACGGTTAGTATAAATATTTATTTTTGAAATTATGTAAATTATATACATTGTGTTATGAACATAATATCAATGTATAATAGAAATGTTCAACAAACACTGAGGAGCTTTTATATTCAATTTATTTTGTTAACTACAAAATATATTAATATATAATATTATTTTTAAGTGAAGCTTAGGTATACCGAGAACGGAAGTACCACAATAGCTTTTATTTAACCCAGTTTATGAATATATACAGAATGATTCACCAAGCATGTTCAGTGCTCACTTCCTTTATTTTTTTCAATAATGCAGTTATTAAAAATTGTTTTTGAGTGAGATTTTTTTTTCTGCTAAGAGTGTCTCATGGCTAAACAAACGCTGTTTTTCAAATGAGAACTCCCCCCCCCCTCTTTTTCTACTATAGATTACTTGGTGGATAATATTTCGAAAACTCTGATAATAATCAGAATCAAAATTTAAACGAGTAGTTTTTGAGTTATTTAACTTTATGTACTAAGGGTAATTTATAGGCCCATGATAATGGGTTTGAAAGATATTATGGGGGCTATGAAAATTTGAAAAGTTTAGCAATTAATATTAATGTATCAACATTTATGATTTGTAAAAATGACCCAAGTATTATAAATAATTTATGCAATATTATATCTACATTAAATTTTGGTAAAAAAATTTGTAAGGACTATGATCTTTAGTATAAAATTTGTACTACTGAGAAACTACTCGTTTGAATTTTGAATAAATAATGTACATTTAAGTTTTCAAAAAAACCGTATACCAAAATTATTTACAATAAAAAAGAAAGGTGAGGTTTGGTTTCATTAGAAACACAAGGTTTGCATCGTCATAGGACACTTTTTAAGTAGTGCAAAAAATATCAGAAACTTGAAATTACGATTTTTAGGACTATTTAAAAATTCTAAAAATCAGAATTTGAATAAACGTACTACCTATTAAATGAAAAACCGTGTGTGCTCATGCATGGTAAATCACTCACTCTGTATAAACTTATAGGTACATGTTTATACAATTATTTTAATCTATATTTTTTTCAGATGGCAACTACTTTAACCGTTGCTGGTATGTGTTGGGCAACACTTTCATTAGCAGCATCATTCCTATGCAGTTTTGGATTCTATTTGCCATTTTGGATACAGGTTAGATGATATAAATATTTTCGTTAGTTTGTTTCATATTAAAATGTGTTGTACTTACAGCATTATAAACTTAATAACCATCACTTATATTTTTATTTAAACGTTTATTTATATTTATATTTTTTTTTTAAGTACATTCATTATTTCATTATTTTCCACACGAATGACTTGACTTTGTGAACGTTTCAGTTTTTGTAGTTTGTAGTTTGCAGTTAAAAATCTTAAAAAGTTAAGTTAAGTCTGCTCAGAGACTGGATATTAGAAATTCGCCTGACTTTGTTCATCTTAGCACGAAATTATGTTGTAAAATATTATTTTAAATTTAAAAATAACGACCTTACAAAACTAATCTAAAAAGGTTTCAGTTTACTATAGTATTAATACTGTTTTTAAATATATCTACGCTGTGTATAATAATTAATAGAATGGTCGTATGACGCGTTAATATAGTTTATAATTTTAAAGTGTTGGCCTTTCACTCTGCGAATTAAAATAAAAAATTATAAAAAATTTCCTTCGGGCCGGATTTGAACCAGCGACCTATGGATATCTATGACGTTTACACCACTACAGTCCACCGCTCTACCAACTGAGCTACCGAAGGTTGATAAAATAAGATCATTTTTGCACAGTTAAACCGACGGGTTTACTTTCACCGCAAAACTCACCTTTGACATACTCTCCCCTTACCAGTTTAATAATTTTATAGTTCCTTCACTGCACAGCGCTTTAAATTTAATATACTCGGGTGTATAAGAATTTGTCTATCTCACAGCTCCCGAACTGCAGTTCTTAATATGGACAAAGTCATATCATTATAAAGTAACCACAATTGTATATATTATCAATATTTAATATAGGTTGACAAATTTTGATTTGGAGTCAAATTAATTTGGTATTATATACTAGATATTAATTATTAGATGTTATCTAAGCAACATTTTTAAATATAATAGCCGTGAAATCATGATTAAATTGTATTATTCTTAGTTATGAGGACGCTATACTCCCATGTCTTGTCACCGTGTTACAAGAGCGTAACATATTATCAAATGTTACGTTCAGCGGATCACGTTTAGCTCAGTTAGCTTAAAAATTAGAGTGAATTGACCTCTTAGTAAAATTAAAGGTAAGATTATTACGGAGGGCTTCTGATGGGCTTTTTATTATATTTTAATTTTAAAGAGAGTTATGAGTATTTTAAGTTGTACAAACAATTTACAATTTTTAAATTAATATTATAATTTATATTAGTTCATTTTTAAGTACTATTTTCCTTTCGTTTGAAACTATTTACAATTTAAAATTTGTAATTATAATTTTTCTACAATAATATAATTGTATGCAATTTCATTTGAATTAGATTGAATTGAAAACTATATTTCATTATTCGATATACACGGGCTCAACAAAATATGTTTCTAAGACAATTTCTACTTTCTCAGTACTTTTTTAACGAAATACAAAAAAAAGAAAAACACACATTTGTAATAAACCAATAAATTAATATATAACTATCTTACTCTGATAATAATCTAGTAAAATAATAAACATTCGAGATGTTACGAAATAGAGCTAAGTATTTAAAATTGAAACCAGATAATATTAATGAGTTATTTACATAATATTATAGTAGTTATATTATTAATTATTTTTACATTTATCAGATAAAATTGAACAATTTATTTGTTTTGATTAAAAATTACGACTTTGGTCTATTGACTAAATCTGTGTTTTCTGTTTAAATATAATGTGACTTGAGGTTTTTAGATTTCATAGAAGTTATCAAGTTATCTCTGACCTTACATTATCGTGAGTAAGTTTGTATGGACTTTTCTTGGTAGGTCCTTTAATATTTCATGTTCCCTTGTGCTGTAAATTTGAATTTGTAGGTAATGTATGTATCGTTTGTTTTGTTTTGTGACTGTTTAGTTGTAACTATTTTTATCGAAGGCAAAAAAATCACGACAAAACCAAATATGATCTATTTTTCTTCCTAGAATATCCATAAATATTAATACAAATCAATTCCGATTCAATATTGGATACTAAAAAATGCTAAGCAAATAATAAACAATAAATAATAATTCTAATGTATTATGCAGGTTGGGAAATATTTATTTATTCTGAGTGTGGAGGGTTGAATTGAAAATGATAGATTCATTTTGAATTCGAATGTCCAATGGGAATATAAATTACTGAATGCTTGAAACACAAATGACAATTTAACGAGAATATTTCATGATATTTATATTTTTCCTTTTCTACATTAATGTTCACATATATTCTATAGTAATTTTCACTATTTTCTTGCATTCCGCAACGAATGATTTATCTTCTTGCATCTTGCTGAACATAATAACCAGAGAAATGGAATGGTAAAAATTCCTCTACGTTTGAAATAAATATGATCATACCTCCAAAATATGTTCTTCAATTGAGATTCTGTGTAATGTGTTACCAATATGACTTTTTCCAATATTTGTTAAATTTATTACATAATATTGTGTAATGGAGAGTCTGATGAAAATATATTTCCACTATACATAGATATTAGTTCATTTATAAGCTGAAAAGTATATCTCGTCTCAGTTTCTTCGACGAAGAGATTTTCTTTGAATTATATTCGGATACCCCTGTCTTAACCCTGACTTATTTAATCTTTCTTTCACGGGTATATATAAAACAAAAAATTGGATTTTTCTAAGACTCGAGAAAAGTTTTCTAATTGGGATGCATTGTGTAAAGGTATTGAAAAAAACTAATTCTACTGGAATTTGGCCATTATAATTATAATTATTTTCAGTATTTATTACGACTGTGGCCATAATTTTTTTTTTATTGGTTTTCATTTACAACGTATACCTATTTATAATTCTGAATAAGGAGACCATTGCTTACTTAAAATACAGCAATGTTGAATTTTTGTTATAAAATATTTCAATTTTTCAAAATCATTATTATTGTTTAATTAATTTGAATTGATTATTTTAATTTTAAATCACGCTTGATAGTATTCATGATAATTAGTTTATTATTTTTCATAATGTTCACTATGTATAATCCAAAATATTTATTAGTGAACGTTGTTTAGAATTATTAATATTCAATAGTTTTAATTAAAGCACAGGAAAAACTATTTGACGTGGACTTCTACAATTATTGTTCATTCCATTATATTATTGTAACCTATAGACTTTCGATTCACCACATTTGACAACAATTATTATTTGTTATTCTGATCTAGGGATTCTGATATGTGATTCCGATTATCTACTACGATTATAATTAGTTAGCACCGGATAAATACTTTTTTTCTTGAATTTGTAATTTACACTAACTTAATATTGTGGAATTGATGATTGATATATTATGTGGAGTTCTAGGGCACAGAATTCATTTACTGCTTATTAATCATTAGTAAGTTATCACCGACACTTAATAACTTCACTTTTCGTTTGGTAGCTGAAAAACCATATATTATTCAGAGTACGAGACGAGCGTTCTATTTCTGATGTAATTTCAGCGAAGAAAATATGTACCAACTGTGGAACAAATATGTGGGTTTAATACATTTATATATCGTGGTTTATGTGTGGTGCGCACACGCGCGGTATTGGTCATTATTACAATATCCAAAAACTAGGATACCGTGAACGCTTGATTATTTACTATAATAATAATAATAATTTTTTTTGTCCACGAGCGATTTCGATGAAATTTATAACGCTTTGACTGCGGCAACAAGGGCGTAAAAAACAACGTTTCACTTGAATTACTCGCGTGTAAATCAGACCGTGAGTAATCGTTTGGTTTCAAGTAGCAGTTTTCCCCCTCATGTATTTTTTTTTGTACTAGCTTACTGTCGAATTTCAACTTTTTTTGTTTGTTGGACAAATGCAAATAATATTTGGAAAGAAAGTTGAGCAACTTTGATAAAATTCATTTTTTATTTCAAAAGTATTATTGGTATATACCTGCGTATGATTGGCTGTGTTGAATTAATGTCTTGTTTGACCTCATACGAATTATAATAACAATACGACGTATATTCAAAAGAAACCTTTTTAATCTTCAACTGACGATTGTTGTTTAAGGCAGTATTATAAATTTAATTTTTGTCGAAAATAATACAGCCAACGAAAACATATTAAGTGGATCAAATCGACCATATAATATGGTCACAAACTACTATTATTACTTCCTGGAAAATATAAATTATTAAGTCTAAACTTCAGTAATGATAATGAAAAAAATTTAATAATGAAGAATTGCGTTAATAATTGTATTCACTTTCCAAGTGAGTATGCTTATTAAAATACTTCAAGTCATAATAATATACTGCTTGAAATAAAATAGTTATAATACTAATTTTGAGTATCTACCTACCTAATCAATAATCGTAATTCATTAGTTAATAATTTTCTTCCAGACAGTGAAAATATTCTATACCACAGTTTTAAGACTGTTCAGAGGAAGCACATTTGCAGAAAGCTTAAAAATTGTAATTTGGTAACTATTTATGTAATTTGTTACAATAATATCAGTTTTCAAAAAACAAAGTAAATTATGTTTTATTATTTCATAAAATCCTTGTAACTTTATTTAAAACCAATAAATATTTACAATCAAATTAAAATTAATTTATCAAACAATTTTTTTTTTACTTTAAAAATGGCTGCGGATAAAACCTTTTTAAAGTGAATAAACTTAGATAGAACCTTTGTATAATTTTATATTGAACCTTAAATAATTGAATTATTTGACATTGAACATTTTTAAACTGAAAAAATAGTTAAAGAATATATTTAAAATGTTATATATATACTATAATGGTACTGACAAAATAACAAATATTTTAGTAAGTATACCTAGTTTAATTTTTATTTAGAACATTTTTAACACTATTACAACCAACATTCATTCATTATATTCTAAATTCTAATAATACACAAGTTTAAGATGGTTAAACAATTAAGGTTATTTTTAAAATAATTGAG